AAAAGTAATATGCCAGTACATATCACTGTAAAGTCATTTTCATTTCAAATTTAGTTTCAGTCCAAGTCTTCACTGAAAAAAAAAAAAGAAAGAAAAATCATCTGAAGACTCTCTTAGCTACTCACTTCACAGAAATGAAATAAAAGGAAAAGTTCCCATATTGAGATCACAACCAATGTGCTTTAACTTCGAGGTAGACCACACCTTTTAAGCCAAATTATTTCTAGCTGCCATGCTCACCGTTCTCACTTCTTTGTTCAAACATTCTGATCAGAGACCCTAGTGGTAAGTTTCACTTATTATTATAATTATTATAATTGATTCTTCTAGTTACCAAAGAAATTGATATGGCCCTGGGGCTTTGAATGGTCAGTTTGGAAGGTTTCGTAGCTCCCAAGGGTTCCTTCACACATTACAGTAACTTTGGAATATTATTTCTTCCCAAAACGTCAATACAGCCGGACACATTCGTGCAGGCCTGCAATCCCAGCAATTCAGGAGGCTGAGGCAGGAGGATCATGAGTTCAAAGTGAGGCCCTGAACAACTCAGCAAGATCCTGTCTCTAATAAAATATAGAAAATGGAGTGGGGATGTGGCTTGGTGGTTAAGCACCCCTGGGTTCAATCCTTGGTACAAAAAAAAAATACATAATAACAGAGATATGGCTGCAGGGTCAACTCCTGGAAATTCCAACCTATTTCTTTGGGGGAAATAAAAATCACCTTGGTCTTTACAGCACACGTTCTTATTTACAAAATTCCCAGAACTGAGTCTACACAGGACTCAGCTAACCACCACCTTGATTACTACATCTTATTTCTTCCTTGTGTCTGCGGCTAATGAAACTGTGAATGAATAAGATTTGAAAATGAAACCTGTGATAGCTTGACGTATTTTGTGTTTTCCCAAGAGGTGTGGCCAGGTTTTGTTTTTTTTTTTAAATAATGTTATGTACTTAAAAATAATTGTGTAGAGGTGTGAACCTGGCACTTAGATAGGAGTGGATTCTCTCTAGATTTTCCCCCAGTGGCTGCAAGCTGTGACTCACAGCAAACGGGCAACACCCTCTGGCCACCATTCCCTCTGCCTCCTCTCAGTAATGCCAATTAGCCTGGGTGGGGTCCAGTGGGAGTGACCTTACATACTGAATCATTTTAGTAATAGCTTTTCCCTTTAGACAGGGGTCTGTGGGCTTCAGGAAAACTAAAAATAGGATTAGACAGTTTAAGGATGAGAAAAGTTAAACTTTAACATTAGAAAAATATTTAAATTTTCCTAATTAGCTTTTGTTTTTGAGGTCTTCTTTATTCCTTTTGAGAACTTATAAATAACTCAAGAAGACCTAATAAGCTCCTCTGAAATTATCAATAAGCACCAGGAATGCCACAAGTTTGTCACCATGTTTGTTATAAGTTGTGATCCTTTCCTTAAGTATAATTCTCCAGAAACCAAAGAAAGGAGAAATATATCACATATGGAAATGAATCAACAAGATTGAATTTCTTTATTATCGTATTGTACTAAGGAAATATATTTGTTAAATAAAACTTACAACTAATAAATTTTTATGCATCATTACTCTTCCAAAAGTCCATGAGCAACCCACAAATCAGTGTCTATCCTTTGCAAGAATATCCTAACAATCATTCATTAAATATGCATTGAAGAGATACTCTTGTAATTAAATATGCAGTAAAAATCTGTCCTGAACCATTTCTGAGGTAAATCCATTTGATCCTACAACAACCTCATGAAGTAGAAAAAGCTGGTAATTTTCCCACTTTAAAAACCAGGAAATTGAGATTTAGAATGATCATGTCTGTGTTTTCAATCCAATTATTGGAAGAGTGGGTTAGAGTTTAAAGCCTCCTGGATTCCCAGATAACACTTGACTTTCACCTTCTCAACATGCACTTCAGATTCTCATTTTTTATGTTATTGCTTTTTTCTTCAGGAAGTGAAAGAGAGCACAAATAAATCGGTTAAGGTTTCTTGGAAGAAATGAATGCCAGGAGAAGAAAGACAATACTTAGAGTAAAATAGCGATTACATTTATGAAGCACGTGATATTATCAGACATTGTACTGAGCACATAACCTGCATCATCTCTTTCACTTATCACAACACATGATAAGTTTAACACTTCTATTAGGAAACTAAGGCTTGGGAAGCTAAGTAATTTGCTCTGGATCACAGAGCTCGGAGCAAACAGACCTTGATTTTCTACTGCTTCCAGAACAAAGGAACAAGAACAACCAGGTCACATGTTAAAATAGCCTGACAGAAAAGGAGTTTCTGCTGAGAGTGGAGGGAAACAAAGTTGGATAGACAGATCTGGACCAAGTTATAGAGTGGCTGGACACTCAAGAAAATGAGATTTGATGTAAGAGATGGAACTTCTTTGTTGATTTCTGAACAGAAAGAAAGAAGATAAAGGGAAGTATGCAAAGGATGTTTTCTTTATAAACGGGAAGCCTTGCAAGTAGTGAAAGACAAGGGGGCCCTTAAGAAACCTAACCTAATAGTCCACGCACAAAATGATGGAGGCCTAATTCAGAGTGGTTGATGGGATCATGAATCAGAAGTAAAGGACACAGAAAACAAATAAAAGGAAGAAGCAATATAATTTCATGACTAATTAGATGCCATGGCTCAAGCAGAGGATGAGTCAAAGATGACTGGATGGCTTCAAGCTTAAGAAACTGAGGAGACGGCGCCATGAAGAGTTAAAATGAGGGCAGAAGTTTGTGCTTAGACATGTGAGAGTTGAGTGGCTGCGGTGGAAGGACCTGGGCATGGGGACTGGTTTTCAGGTATCAGAATAGAATACATGGTCATTACCAACAGGGCACTGTGCAGTTACGAAAGTTGCAAATATATCTGAATTTGCTACTAAAGAACAAAGGAAGAGAAATTAGAGCTGAGAATATAGGCTAAGGAGTTTTCATAAATAAGAATGCCTGTGAAGAATGAGGAAGCATGCCAGACATGAAACCTGTCATCCGTGTTTTCTGTTTATGGGGGTCATCAGCATGCACACAGTAACATCATCTCCTCCACTACCACCATCATTATCATATAAAATTATATATTTGGAAATGCATTTGTTAAATAACACCTAATAAGTAAACTTTTATACACACTTTATAGGCACCCAACAAATCCATGCCTAATCTTTACCAAAATATCTTAACAGTCAATCATTAAATACGCACTAAAATATATACTATATACTTTCAGTAAAATATGCAATGAAAATCTATCTTGAGGGCTGGGGATGTGGCTCAAGCGGTAGCGCGCTCGCCTGGCATGCGTGCGGCCCGGGTTCGATCCTCAGCACCACATACCAACAAAGATGTTGTGTCCACCGAGAACTAGAAAATAAATATTAAAAATTCTCTCTCTCTCTCTCTCTATCTCCCCTCTCTCACTCTCTCTTTAAAAAAAAAAATCTATCTTGAATAATTTCTGAGATAAATTTATTTAATCCTCCAACAACCTCATGAAGTAGAAAAAGGAATTATAGATATATCAAATATATAATATTTAATATATAACATATTTTGTTATGTTTAATATATAATTCCTTTTATATTATATAAAGAAGTATAACCTTTTATATATATAACATATATTATATATATTTATGTATATATAATTTATATATATAGTTCCTCCATTGAAATATAAACTCCATAAGAACAAGAAACATTACCTAGAACAGAATTTAGCATATTTTACAAATTCAATCTATATCTATTGAATAAGTGCATCCATTATTGACCCCATGTCTCAGCAACTAGCCCAGGACCTGGAAAATAGCTGGTGCTCAACGGAGCTTATTGAACAGAATTGAACTAATAATTCCATCTTTATTTCCAAAGAGTCCCCATCTTTAACACTATTGATTATTATAGTCCAAACAAGTTAATTAAAAATTCAAAAGAGACACAATTGAAGCTTATAAGAAAATATTCTGGAAAAAATACTTAAACTCGGCTATATGAAAGAAATCATCTAAATTTTTAAATAGGAAGGGGGCCAGGGAAAGGAATAGTTACTAAGGTACAGAGATAGAAAGAAATTTGAAGGAAGAAAACAGAAAGGTATCTGTTTATCAGTTAATTTCTTTTACATGGATGAAGGATATGAATTAGGGAACTGCTAGTGTGGGTAAGTGTTCTCTAAATGTCAATGTGTCAAAGCCTTGGTCTTCAGCATTACAATATCAACAGATGCTGTATACCTCTTCTCCTCTTTCTCTCACTTCTGCTTCTTGACTAATGAGGTGAGACATTTTCTCTGCCACATGCTCCTACCATACTTTTTTGAGAGAGATGAATTTTTGTTTGTTTGTCAGAGTCCCAAAGAGATGGAGCTGCTCACTTATGATCTGGAACCGTCAAAATCATGAGAAGAAATAAACCTTTTCTCTTTATAAGTTACTTGCCACAGATATTTCATCATAGTGATGGAAAGCTAACTAAAATAGAACCCATGAGAAATCCCATTGCTTAGACTGCCATGCTGAGTAACCAAGAAGCATGCCACACACCTTCAAGATTGGCTACAGGTAGTAAGAGTGAGAAATGAATTAATGACCATGCCAAGGTTTGTGACATGAGCAAATTATAAGAATGATAGCACTGGGAGCAAACATAGAGTGGAAGATGTGTTGGATTTTAAATATTTATGACTCCGAATCTCAGTTAGGAATCACTTGGATGAAATTTATTTAAACCACTGGGAATACACCTAGAATCCCAGCTACTTGGGAGGCTGAGGCAGGAGGATGGCCAGTTCCAGGCCAGCCTCAGTAACTTAGTGAGACCCTGTCACAAAATAAAAAACAAAAAAGTACAAACAAACGTTTTTTTAAAAGGGATAAATTCACTCAGGCTATCTTAAATGAAAATTGGGCTCATTGAAAGTACAATACAAAATTTTGCAGACCTAGAAAAGGAAAAAAGTATAGGTTGGTCACATGGAGGGATTTTACCTGTAAATTAGGGGGGAAGCTGATGGTCTTTTCCTTTGTCAGTCATCATGCCCCATGGCATCTCAGCTCTGATTCTCAGGGTCTCTGGTCCATTCATTTTTCAGTTTTTCCCTGTAGACCAGCTTCTTCTGCTCTTTCAAAGCTTTCAGCCTACACATGACTTTGATTTGCCAAGATGCCACATATACATGAACATCTGATTTTTGTGCTTTCATTCTGAAAAACATATGAAAGAAATAATTATCCAGGCAAGCAAATTCATTTTAAGTTTACTACCACTTTAAGCATATATTGTCCTTCAATTTTATAGTCATTCATTTATTGCCTAGAAAGACCAATTATTTATGTTGCATATTACCTAATATCAGAATCAACATATATCACTCATTGCCTCATTAAAGTCATAACCTAAAATTTATTAGAATAATATATAATCACTGAAATATATTCAAAAGAAATAAGAGGGAAAATGATCAAACTGCTTGTCATAACCAGAACATCAGATATAAAATAACCCAGAATTTGGTTAAGTTAGAATAGCCCAATAGTTCCGAAGACTAAATAATTTCCTCCCTTTTATCTTAGGTGAATTTATTTTATACCTTTTCAATAAACGGAGCTAAATAATCTCCAAGGGTGGATAAGATGGACTCTGAAAAAGCCTGAGTGAATGTTTCTGAACCTATGAAACAGCAACTGGAATTTAACATCCCATGATGTATGGCTGACCTTAGCTGATGTCTACATTTGCTTTTTTATATTTGGTTACCTGTTAGCATACTTCAAAAAAGACCAAAAAAGATTGAAACACTCCTCAGATTTCAAATGAAATCTCATTTTAAAATTTAACAAGTACTAAACTAAAAGATTGTTTGAGAAGAAAAGAAACAGGGTATGATATTAAATAACTGTCTGGAGAAAATCACCTGTTCATGATATCTCTCTTCTTTATCAGTCTTAATAATGCTTGAAATATATTAGTAGCTGTTCTAGATATAAAGCAACAACCTAAACTGAGTGCCATCAAGATGTGAATGGGTACTTGAAGACTATATAAAAAAGTATACATATGAAATACTTGTTTCATTGGAAATGGATTTTCTCACATGTACTATAATTTTCTCTCCTTAGGTATAAAGATCAGTTTGTAAGATCGAGCTTTATTGTACAAAAGGTAAATATGGAAGCCCTTGTTTGCACAATACACAGCACCACAGAGATGAGAAGGAAAGTACAATTTATGTCAATTGAATAGCTACAAAAATATCCATAAACGCTTTCCCAACTAGACAGAGCTAGTCAATGCTTTCTTGATGGGATTTGAGGCGAGGCCTCCACCCACACAAAAATTCTCTCCCTTGTGAGCCAACTCTCTGAAACCATTATCAGAATTTTATCCCTCTGGTTGACAACTTTGATCTTTAAGAAAGTGTTTATTCTTCTGTTAGAGATAATAATCCTCCTTGTTCCCAGAGACAAATCCTGATTATTTCTGCATTTTATTATGTCCCGTTTTGCCCATGTGCTAAAACATTTGCATCTGATATGATCAGATCCAGCAAGTACCTCAAGATAAAAGGTCAAAAATATCAGCCAAATGTAGAACAGAGAAACAAAATATATCAAATATTAATCTGAAATAATTTTTTTCAATTTATGATTATAAATACTTCATACAGTCTTGCTCAATTTTAGTTTTATTAAGCTACAAACTATTAAATAAGGTTTGTTTTATTCTGTAATTTGGGGTACATAGGCCATTGGGCCAAATTTTAGACCAACAGAAAAAAAATAAAATGTAATATTAAATATTAAAAATAAAATGTAATCCCTTTAAAATGTAATATTAATAAAATTCTGAAGGAGGACAGAAGATACTAATCTGTCTAATCCTTACTCAAATGACAATCCTTTTTCATCCTTTGACTGTGTACAATGACCTATAAAGGGGAAATGGCACAAGGCCACTCTGATTGATGTCTCCTAGACATGGAAAAAATAAAGTAAAACTAAAATCAGCAAATCTATCATTAGCCACAGCCTAAAACACATACAAAATAGATATATCCAGGTTAGACCTGTTTTGTTTTCTTACAAGAATTTCAACAGCATAAAGACTGCCAATGCCTAGATGGCTTGTATCTCCTCATTAATTCACTGATCCTCCTATTTACCTCTTGACAATTTTAAGAACCCATCTTTACAGTGTTAAAAGATAAAATTTTCTCTGGTTCAATTTAATCTTTTAGAATAGAAACAATTTTGTTCATTGTTTCTTCTAAATTTCAACAGTAAGAAGTCCAGGTATGCATTCCTATTTCTGTCTAGATAACGGTTCAAATATGCACTCAGACAGAAGATCTTTGCTATAAAACAGTGAAGTGTAAAAACAGAGATTAGATCTCCATTCCCCACCAATATTCAGGTATCATTGACAGTTTCAAGGTACCTACTCAATGTGAAAATCAATTACATTGTCTGAAATTATTTGAATTATGAAGCATCCTTGAGTGAAGTAGCACCAGAAGGCAAATGTGTATTGGTTTGATGAACTCATTCTGTTTTGAATAAAATGTGACCATGTTTGTAGGATATGAATTACAATCTATGCTATGTCTTCAATTCCATAAGTATGGCTACGAAAATTTTGATAAAATCCTTGCACTTCTAAGTTGCAAAACCTAGAAAAGTCATAGGCTTTTTCTGACCTTCACCGTTTTCATCTGTTCATTACAGAAGATAAATCACAGAATGTTTATGAGGATTCAATTAAATGAGATATTAAAGTGCTTGGTTGACAACAGGTTTTTAGTAAATGTCTCCCTTTATTATTAACTAGTATTTCAGGGGAAGAAGAAAAGTAGTACTTTTGAATATATGCACTGAAATCATAAGTGTTCATGTGCTGTCTTCTTTTTCCTTCCTTTGTACCACCAGGGATCCTTGTAAATCTAACAGTTTTACTTGTGCTCACCTCTGCATATGCTTGGGATATGAACCAGGGATCCATTGGATTTCTGGCATCTTAATTATGAATTTGATTCCATAGGAGATTAAAAAACTAGGGGATATCAGAATTATACACATGAGCAAAGTTGATGCCTTTTCTTCATTTCAATTTGGAGAATGTAATTACTGAATTAATTAGTTGTGCTAAACTATTAAACCTTAAATAGATGGTTTATTATTTTCTTTTGACTCTAGGATTTCTAGGAAGAATCACTGATTCTATTGCAATATTCTTTTCTGGTTTGTTTCCGATCTAAATGGAAAAATAAATAACTATTTTCTTCTCCCTCTACTCTTTCTAATATAATGCTAGATGCACCCTACTCATCCACTCTGTCCTGCTTTTTCATTCTTCAAGTGAATCTCTAGCACTTACTACCCAACTTGCTATACTTTAGTAAATCGAAGACTTCACTTTGAGGGATCCTTCTCTAACCCTTCCTTCCCTCTGGACCTTCTCATTGATAACCCAAGCCAGGACCTGGATGGTACTAGAATAGCGATGCTGACTACTATGATTCTGGTATTTATGGACAGTCAAATGAGAACCATATGGTTCAGTATTAACCTTCACAATCAAAAACTAAATAAAAAATCTATAAGTATAATGCCAAGAATCTTAATAAAACTCAATAGGTTGAATATGAAAACAATCTCACTCCTGATATGTAATACTAGTACTAAGTTCTAACAGAAAATGTTTCTTATTACATATCTTGGACAAATTTTGAAGAAATAATAGGAAATGTGAAATACAGTGTCCCCACAAGACTTAATTACCATCAATGGGTTTTTGGTAGGCCAGAGTCTTAACCTGATTAAACCATCTTTCATGAGCTAGTTGCACAAATGGGGCCTGGCCAACCACCTCTGCTTGTGTTCAGTTGCCTGGACATGCTTACTTTTGTGGTTGAAACTCAGATGCTTCCTCCCACACAGGGTAAGAAAAAATACTTTCATTTCCTTGAAAAGGTAAAGTCTTTGCAAAATTTCATGTCTGACATAGTGTTTTCTTTTTTTATAAGATTTATATTCATGTATTTAGCAGATTTATTTTCTATTCTACCAAAATCATTTATGTAATTCATTTCTCTAAGTTTGCAGAACATCAATTATGATTTATTCAGTTATTCATCTACACAGGTTCTCTGGGTTTTGCTCCAATTTTCTAAATAATTTATGAAAATAAAACACTTTAAATTATATTTTGTGATTTGTAGATATAGTCTAACAAACTTTGGGAAATATTCCAATTTGGTGAGAATGTTTATGTTTATATGTTCATACCATATATAGAGAAAGAGGCAGCATTTTGACATTTATGTTGAGTCTCAGCATAAGGAGGATTTCAGTAGATTTACAAATATTTAAACAATGTAATGATATAACAGCAAGAGACACAATCAGACGTTACATGTCAGATAGTGTTCTAAGAATTCTGCATGAATTATTTGCTTTAGTTCTCATAACAACCTTATGAAGGTGATCTGTTGTTATCCTCATTTGCTACAATTGAGATACTGGGTCCTCAGCTAATTAGCCCAAGTCCAAAACTGAGGAGCAGATTTGAACCCTGATTGTCTGGCCCTAATTCCCTGCTCTTGCCAGTAAGGACAAAGGGGGATTAAAAAAAAAAAAAGGAAATAAGAGTTAATTTAGTTAAAAATCAGCCTAAGAAAAGTGCATTGAAAATTTTTTCTAATAGCAAAGAGTGAATCATAAATTTGCTTTTATTTTGGGGGAAAAGAAAAAGAGAAAGAGGAAGGGTAGGGAGGGAGGGAGGGGAAAGAAAAAGAAGATAAAGGAAAGAAAAGAAAGAAAAAAGAAAAGAAAAGAAAAGGAAAGATAATCAGCAACAAAATTCTCAATTTTGCCCATAAAATAAAAGACCAACAACTAGAAGGTACGTGACTCTGAAGTCTGTTGAACATTGTGAGAAAGAGGAAACAGCATTCTAAAAGCAAAACTAAAACCACCAACAAAAACAGAGAGCTTTCTCCTATTGCCCCAAAGGCATACCCCACCAATACCTCCAGAACCTAGCTCAGAAGAAGACCATTTTTAATGTTCCAAAGAAATATTATCCAAGTATGTACACCCAGTGAGGAAGCTTGATTCCAGAGTAAAATTAGAATCTCTCCAGGAATGTATACGTGGTATATTTTCTATGAGCACTCTTCCCTTGTGTAACAATGTGATA